TTTGCCTTATACACAAAACTCCCCTTAAAGTATCTCAGAAGGAGAACTGTCTTTTTCTGAGGGGATCTCACTTAACAGACTCATGTTTAGTCCCATGCCAGGTTTTTCTTCAGTGTGCTGCTGCCGAAATGGTTACGACCTTGTCTGGACCAGCGCATTTGGTGTCTGTGCAGTCACCTCTTCCAAACTGTACCTTGGTGCAGTCACCTCTGCAGAGGCAGCCCATCTCTCCCCCAACCCCCCCCCTCCACAGACCTCCTGCCTTCGGCAGGGACTCAGGCCCCCCCTGCCCAGCTGGCATCCTCTTGGTTTTGTCCTCTGCTCTGCTGTCCAAAACACGAAAGGACATACTGAGCAGCCCTGGAGGCAGAACTTCAGGGATATGATCCTCCCAGCTGGAAAAGTGAAGCCCTGATAATTAGCCTTCATTATGGTACTTCAACCTGTGTAGCCTCTGCGTGGCGTCTTTGCTGGCTGCTCTGGGAGCCTGCGATCTAGATATTTTCTAAATGCTCACTAAAGTTAAGGTATTTCATATCTACCATTTCCTCCTCATCTATCAGGCCTGTTAGTCAAAGAAGGAAATTAGCCTGATTTGACAGGATTTGTTCTTCAAAATTCCCTGCTGGTTGTTTCTTATCACCTTATTGTCCTTTAGCTACTTATAAATTGATTGTTTCATAATTGGTTCCAGTATCTTTCCAGGTATCATGGTTAGACTGACTGGCCTGTAATTCCCCAGGTCCTCTTATAACAGTAATTTACAGAGAACAACTGCATTTAAGTTAAGCAGGTATTGAAAGACATACTACTTTTGCCCTGCTTATCTTTATTCATTGTCTAGTTTTGTTCCTCCCTCAAATTAAAAATGTTTCCCATAAGTATTTATCCTCCACTTGAAGCTCAGCATAATCCAACACTGCCTTCATCTCTCCTGTGTTCTTGCCCAAACCTTCCTGTTACTTACATACTCCCCTGACTTCCCTCCTTCTTGATGCTTCATGTCTTCCTCCCTCTCTTTTCTTTTATCGTTTGTTTGCAGTTCCCTGGCAAAATATATTACCCAGCAATTTATATCCCCCAGTGCCTGAAGGGCTCTGAAGAGAGTCCTGGAAAAATCTCAGACCTCTGCCCTTACAATGTGGACAGTGACATCTACCAGTCTAGCAGGGACATGGCAAGTTCTGCCGTTAAGATACGGTCAGGGCTAGCTACATCTAAGTGAGCTCGGAGGCCAGTGGGTGGCAGGGAGAAGATGAAATCTGGGAGGCTCTGGTCCTGGTCATCAAACTGAGAGTTTGTCTTGGCTTTAGGATGGCAAAGACACCTATTAGAAAGCAGGTGTCCGCTCACTTGGGTAGTGTCTAGCAAACACAGGTGTTGGGTAGAGCTCCCGGCTTCTTGTAGGGAGGCTGAATAGATCAGCGTTTGGCTTCAGCCATGAGCCAAAGGTTTGTGTGTTCAGCAGAAGAACAGGAAGCATGTGCCACTTTCTAGCTAAGCAGATCAGGAGAAGATAACTTTGTTTGAGGGAGAGGTATCGTTATCCAGGGTTGTGCACTATATAATTGCACAATCTGCTATCATGCATGAGCAGAGCTGTTCAATAGCATGGCCCTGCCTTGTCCTGACATCATGTCTGTGTTGGAAATCCATTTGGAATGAAGAATCCCACATTCCCAAAGTGACCTCGTAGTCTCAGAGCAAAAGGCTGAGTTGCAGTGGGTGGAGACTTTACAGTCTCAGTGGTGCCAGAGACAGGAGCTCAATCACCAGCCTCCAAGCAGCTAAAGGATGAGAAGTCAGCAACGAAGCAAACCGCTTTCCAAAGAAAACAACATTTTAAAAGAGCAGGAGATGTCCATGGCTTTTTGAAGGCAAGAAAAGTCCTAAAGGCAAGAAAAAGTCGCTGTGATTAACAGTGTTACTCTCATTAGCTGCTACTACTTCTAGCACTGCTTTTGGGAGGTGGAAGCAGTCAGCACTTCTGCAGGTTGCCTAATGAGACCATAAATGCTGGGCCAGGTACACAGGTTGGAAGTGTTGGCCATTATCAGTCTGCACTGTCAGTGCTGCAGTTCTTTTGCAGACTCAGCGAATGTCGCATGCTGTGTGTCACGTTGTCTTCTAGACCTTTGGTTTTATGGTTTCCACTCCTTTCTTTCACAGCCATTGCTTTCATATCACAAAGGCAGCCCTGACTTCCAGCATTACCCTGATGCCTGAGAGAATCGAGTCCCCTTCTTGCTCTTGCCCTGCCCTCTCCTCTTCATCCCCACCAAACACTTCCCTGTGTAGCCTAAATACAAGAGGGATTCCTCACTGGCCATCTTCATCTTCATTTAGGCTACTTTCTGCACGCCTGCAGGGGGAGGAGGCCCTAGTGAGCTGGAGAAACTGACTGAGAGCTCAGTGGTGCCTTTTTAGAGTCCAGTTAAAGGGACTGTGTGGTTTTCCCCAAACCAGAAATGTCCAGCAAACTCAGCGTGCCCCACGTTAAAGGCTCTGCACCCTAGTGATAGCAAAGAAAGTCACCCTGATCATTCAGCTGAAGGTAGCATATACCCAATGATCAGTGACTTGAATATAATTTCTGCATCAGCTACATCTTGCAAACTGTTCTGCAACTTGCCAGACAGCGTTTGGTATTTGGATAGTGTTTGCAAGTGGCAGACAGACGGTTAAGGGGAAACGTCTCTGACAGTAGCTGGATGTAATTTAGAGATGGACTACAGCCATGTAGTTACATACCAGATATGGGTTTTGGCTCGCTTTGTTCGAGAGATAAGGCCCAGAAAGGGATATGCACATTCAGACAGAGCTGAGTTTTCCAGAAAGATGATTTCAGTCTGAAAAGGGAAGGGCAATTTAACACCTGAACTGTCTGGCCTCCGTGATACAGCAGCTTGCAGGCACTCTTTACAGGTGTTAGCTGCTGGTGTATCCTTCGGTTGTCCCTCTCTTACAGCTTCCCAGAGAGCGGATGAGGGTGGCAGTGATGACCAGTCACTCATGTATTAATCCTAGTTTATCTCAGTGGCATATAGCAAAACAAAGCAACAAAGGTATTCCTTCCTCTTCCTTGCCGTCCTTATTCCTCTTGTTGATCAAACTGTGCCTGTTCTTATTCACTTCATGTTCTTGGGACTTTTATCTTCTTCTCTGCGTGTCCTCTCTCCAGGAAGACTATTTCCATGCTTTATGTAGCACAGGCTGAAAAATGCTATGTATAGACTTATGCTACCTCTCCAGTAAGAAAGTGATTTATTAAGGTGTTCAGAATATGACCTTCATTCCAAATGCAAGTATAAAGCTTGATTTTTCTTTTGTGTCTCCAAGCTGGTCCCTCTTGCCAAACGTGATTGTTTTCCATCTCTCACTTATCCTTTAGCTCTTTTGAAATCCAGTTTCAAACCATCATCTCTGCCTTCAGTTCTGCTTTGGACTTTGGGGCTATGCAACTCAACTTAAAAGCTGTTTGGGAAGACAACTGCTGAAATTAGGCTCGGAACTTAGGTGGGTACAAATGCCCAGAAAGACTGAAGAGAGGCCTGAAACCATTGGTTTGAAGATACAAAATTTTGTGGCCCTCATGTTATAATGTCTCATTCAAATGACAGCTCTTCTAGAGACAGAGCATCTCCCAGTGCCATTCTGGGGAATTAAATTCGGTACTGAGCCTGCATAAAGAGAGAGGAGAGCTACTTGCTGCTTCATCACTTTATGAGCCTGGTATCTACATCATTGCTTAGCAGATCTTGCTTCCAGTAATCCTCTTTTTCTTCAGAGATGAGCACCAAGAACGCATTCTGAGCAATTCATACAGAAAGACTACAAAAACAGCACCTCAGAATAAAGCTATATCCTTTGGCTCAGAACTAAAACTCGTAGGGCAGTCAGTCATACTTGTGGACGCATTACTGAGGCCGTGATTTTTCTCCTCTGCAGGCTCTCCAGCGTTTTTGCAGACGGCTAGGGGTAGGCAAGTGCGCCTGGGGTAACATTCCTGTTTGCTGGGCTGCTGGAATTCAGCTATGCTCCTTAACAAAACAGTTTGTTTTAGACATTTTTGATGCATGTGCATTTGCGAGATGCATTTGGAGGAAAAACTAAGCGGAACTAAGACACTGAAAGGCAAGATTGTAAAATTGGTATTTCTCAACTTTGATTAATGCTGACTGATGATCTAATTTTCCCATATTGCTGCTTCTTCTTGATAAAAGATGTTAAAGGGCAGTCCAAAGAATCTGATACTACCAAGTACAGGTCCAGTATCTCAGTGACCGCCTGTGCTGGAAATAAGCAACGTGACTTGGCTGTCAGAGCTGGCTATAGGGTAACAAATTAATTCAATTAGATCTGCCACCATCAGCGATGTTGGCACTCCCTTTTCACCTGTTACACCACACCACCTAAAGACTCGTGAGTAGGGACACACACAGGGCTGTGCTGAACCATGGCAGGACTGCAGAGATGCTTCAGACCCTGCTTAACTGTGCAAACTCCCATTTATGCGTGTATTAGGTTTTCACTGCCTCCCCGATCTGCTTTTTCACATTCAGTGGATTCTCCTCTCTGTGTTTCTGCCTCTCTTTCTCTATTTTTTTCTCCCTATTGTTCCCCACGTCACTAACTGTCACTCACTTCATAAAGCCGTCTGGCTCGGAGCTTAAATATTGCAGGGCAACTAAAACCCACCATCAGAGCCAATTCAGTCATATCTGCTCAGTCGTGCGACAAGATTGGGACTTTTAGGGTAGGGAAGAAGGGAGACAAAAGTTCACTCTTCCCTGCAGAGTGCCAAGAGAGGAGGGGGACACATTTCTTCGGTGGAGCCTTTCACAGCGGCAAGTTGCTTGCTCAACGTCCTTAACAAATGCAGTCTTTTTTGCTGGTAGCATGCTCAGGTTGCTGGAAACGCAGGGTGGGGGTTTGCAACAAGCCCATGTGAGTTAAGAGCACTGATCTGTTGACTCAGAGAGGGCTTAGGCGGTCTCCTGCTCTTTTCCTCACAACAGGCAATTTAAGGTAAAAGGTGACTGCCTACCTTCATCGCTTGCACCTTTTTTTGAGACTTGTGGGGCTGGCTGCTTACAGGTGGAACCCTAGGCATTTGAACTGGTTGCACCACTCATCTTCAGTCCACTCACAGTTGTTCCTTGCAGTTGAACCGACAGAGCAACCTTGCAGAGAGCAGAGAGGATGGTCATGGCAGATTTTTGACAAACGTGACCGGTTCGGAAGTGATCTCAGGAGGAGGTTAGCCAAATGTAGCAAGCTGCAAGCGAGACATTTGATGGAGTTAGGCAGGAAACATTTTTCCTTCTCTTGTGCAGTCAGATTTCCGTATGATAAGGTTTATCACATCTAGAGTGCTGCTCTTGCGTGGCGATGTTCAAATGGTAGCTGGGGGTATCAGTGTGACTCACAAAGCAAGAAAGGGATGGAGTTAACTGCAGCGCCTGGGGGACAATGAAGTTTATATTGTGTGTAGTTGTGTTTTTCACACAGTTGCACATGATTGGTAACTGTCGGGTATATTTTGCTCTGTGAATTTGCAGAAAGAGAATGTTTAAATCAGTTTAGATAATGTATGTAAACAGCATAATCTTCTGCTAGACTTGTTAATGTAAGTGCTGACGTTAACACACGCTTTTACACAACTTTAATGACTGAGAAAGTAGCAATTTTCTTCGGTGATTCAATTATATGTTTGACGCTTATGCATGCAAGGTGTTTGTGCAAGCTGAAGGACTGTGTTCTGTTCTTTGTTTTCTAACATGGGTGTCTGGGGTTAAAATTTTACAAGGTTTGAAGGCAAGGAAAACAAGTCCATTTTGTTTTAGAAAAATTACATCAGAAGGATTTTTTGTGTTGAAAATTTGTGAAATTCCCCAGAGCCACAGAACTCTCAATATTTTGTGTGTTTCTCTATGTGTGAATACGTACACACAGTAGTTGAAACAGACTGGTGTGCGTTGGTGTGTCGTAACATATGGCATTACAAATATGTCCCAGTGGTATCTGAAGGAGGTGGGAGGTTTAGATACTTGGATTTCCATGCTGATGACTGTACCTTCTTTTTCGCAGTACTTGTGTACATGTATCTGCATTTAGGAAACTATAGGTGGAGGTTGTATCTAAGAGATGAACTTCTAGATCCCTGTGAACAGCTGTTTTATGAATAACGTTCCCTGTTTTGCTTGTCATGGTCTATAACTCGGTCTTTCTGGATCGCTGTAATATTCTGCATTCTCAGAGACTTCAGACTGCTGTGCTGTGTTAAATCAGCCCACCCCAAACAAGTTTCCTCTTTCATAGCTTTTCCCTTGCCTAAAATTATGTAGTGGGAAGTTTAGGATATGCAGGATGATGTCTTGGCCCAGGAATAATTTCTTATCACACAAAAATAATGACAGATGTAATGTTTGACCTACATTACTTAAAAATGGACTACTATCTTAGCTTTCCAGTAGGATATCTGCACCTGGCTTCCAGCTCAGTGTTAGCCTGAGATGGCAGCACTGACATACTGCGTCCAGTTCTGGGCTCCCCAGTTCAAGAAAGATGAGGAACTATTGGAGAGAGTCCAGTGGGGGGCTATGAGGATGATGAGGGGACTGGAGCATCTCTCCTATGAGGAAAGGCTGAGGGAGCTGGGCTTGTTCAGCCTGAAGAAGAGAAGACTGAGAGGGGACCTTATAAACGCTTATAAATATCTTAAGGGTGGGTGTCAGGAGGATGGGGCCAGACTCTTTTCAGTGGTGCCCAGCGACAGGACAAGGGGCAACGGGCACAAACTGAAGCATAGGAAGTTCCGTCTGAACATGAGGAATAACTTCTTCCCTCTGAGGGTGGCAGACCACTGGAACAGGCTGCCCAGAGGGGTTGTGGAGTCCCCTTCTCTGGAGATATTCAAGACCTGCCTGGACAAGGTCCTGTGCAGCCTGCTGTAGGTGCCCCTTCTTTGGCAGGGGGTTGGACTAGACGACCCACAGAGGTCCCTTCCAACCTCTAACATTCTGTGACTCTGGAGAGAGAAAATAGTATTTTAGGTCGCAGTTACAGACCTTTGTATTTCTCTCCAGACTGGTTCCAATGTCAGTGTAGAAACTGACTTCAGAAGAGAATGCAAAGAATAGCCCCAATAACACTGAATAATTACATTGTATATAACACATACTATATAGCAAAACTAGTATATATGGAAGTTACTAAGCTTATACAGTATTGCTAACATAGTAATGGTATTGTTATTGCTGTTCTTACCTAACAGAGTGATTGCTAATGTAAAATTAATATATGCAACCTAGAGAGAATTCAGGTTTGTGTAGGTGCAAGATGGGCGCCATTTCGAGGTCTGTTTGACCTGTGTGTGGTTCTGGTGCAGAAGAGCTTGGGTGCCTGAAAGCTTCACTCTCTTTTCTAACCACTGCAGCTGCATGCTGATAAATCTGTTCTACGGTACCACTGGCGAGGGTTCGTACGTGTACAAAATCAACTAAGCAGGCTGATGCAACTGAGCTTACAAGTCACCACAGCAGACTCTTACCAGGAAAAGGAGTTAAATATACTCCCTGGCTGAAAAGTAATTGCCTATTTAGAGCCAGGGAAGAAAGAATTTAGCAAGCAGTTTGCTCTGGCTTCTGAGCACTTCTCTTGCTCATAAATCATTGTGATCAGGCAAATAAGCATGCAGGCAACCTTCTTTCTGTTCTGAAAGCGTATTAGGGAAATACTTATTGGTTGAAAGCAACAAAAGACATCAGTGGGAAAACCTGAAACCTTTTACATTTCGCATAATTTGTGGTCATTCTCTTTCTTTTTCTTTCCTTAGACAGTAAGAAATGGGTGACTGGAGTTTCTTGGGGAACATTTTAGAGCAGGTGAACGAGCAGTCCACTGTCATCGGGAGAGTCTGGCTCACAGTGCTCTTCATTTTCCGCATCCTGATCCTGGGAACAGCTGCTGAGCTAGTGTGGGGAGACGAACAGTCAGACTTTGTGTGCAACACCCAGCAACCTGGTTGCGAGAACGTCTGCTATGATGAGGCCTTCCCCATCTCCCACATCCGGCTCTGGGTCCTGCAGATCATTTTTGTATCCACACCTTCGCTAATGTACTTTGGGCATGCGGTGCACCACGTCCGCATGGAGGAGAAGAGGAGAGAGAGGGAGGAAGCAGAGAGGCGTCAGCAAGCTGAGGTGGATGAAGAGAAGCTACCCCTGGCTCCAAATCAAAACAAAGGCAACAACCCTGATGGAACCAAGAAGTTTCGCCTGGAGGGTACCCTCCTGAGAACCTACATCCTCCACATCATTTTCAAAACTCTCTTTGAGGTGGGATTCATAGTAGGTCAGTACTTCCTGTATGGTTTCCGAATTCTCCCCCTTTACCGCTGTGGGCGGTGGCCCTGTCCCAATCTGGTGGATTGCTTTGTCTCCAGGCCTACGGAGAAGACCATCTTTATTATGTTCATGCTGGTGGTGGCTTCTGTGTCCCTCTTCCTCAACCTAGTGGAGATCAGTCACTTGATCGTGAAAAGGATCCGGAAGGCTCTGAGAAGACCAGCGGAGGAACAGCTGGGAGAGGTCCTGGAGAAGCCCCTCCATGCCATCACAGTCCCCACCATCCCAAAGACCAAAGGCTACAAGCTGCTGGAAGAAGAGAAGCCGGTGTCCCCCTATTTCCCTCTCACGGAAGTAGGAGTTGAACCCAGTCCCCTTCCATCAGCCTTCAATGAATTTGAGGAGAAGATTGGGATGGGGCCATTGGAAGATCTCTCCAGGGCATTTGAGGAGAGGTTACCATCGTATGCACAAGTAAAGGAACCGGAAGAGGAGAAGGTAAGAGCAGAGGAGGAGGAGGAGGAACAAGAAGAGGAGCAGCCAGGACCTCAGGAAGAGCCAGGGGTGAAGAAAGCAGAGGAGGAGGTGACCCCTCAGCAGGCTAAGTAAAGCCAGCAGCCGGGCCAGGTCAGACGACTTGACTGTATGAAGGTGCAGCATACGGGGAGAACATGAAAAAGAAAAGATTGAAGAGAAAAGGAGAGATAGAGAAAGAATCAAAAGATATTTTTAAGCAAAGTGCTAAAATGGCCATTTGAATATTATTTCCTCTTGAGATTCTCAACTGGAAAGGTACTATCATGGTAACTGTGCCTTATTTGCCCTGTATGTCCATTTGAAAAGGAACATTTTCCCTCTTTCCACATGCCAGCTCGCTGCTTGCAGTAATATCTACACTGTATACATAACAGCTGTCTTTTAAAACCTAACGCGGCAGTGAAACCTGAATGTCACCACTGTGAACGTATTTACTGGCAGCTTTGTCTTCCACATTTCTCTAGGAACATGGGGAGGATCTGTCCCTTCAACCAGCGAGGGGGAAGACTGATCAGCAACTGTATCGAGTATTTCTTTTTCTGGTTCTACCTATGGCATGCTGAGCAGATCTCCCCTTTGCTGTTGGCATGGAATTGCAGTTATTTAATTCACAAAGTGAATTCTGTGCTTAGCATCCACACACTAAAACACTAAGCACTATTTCCCCTCTCTATTCAGATAATAAAGGCCAAAATGTCCCCATTGTCTCTTTAAATGCAAATCTGAGTTAGGTAAAAATATTTTCCCTTTGTCAAAAATATTTCTGCTCTTCAAGTGGCATTGACAGTGGGCAAGGTTAACAGTAGTTCTCTACTAGGATTTAGCAGATGCCCACAGATGGATTATTTGTTCCCAAGAGGGTCATCCAGCCCCGAGCCTATTTCAGAGCATTGGAAAGAATAAATTCAAGTGATATTTTTTACTTGTAGTCTTGTGACTTAAAGATCTGAAATTCGATTTAGCAAAGAAAGCGTGGGAAGGCTTCTGTGAAAGGAGGAAACAGCTACAGCCCCCAGAGCGTGAAACCAAATATAAGCCTTCCCGACATGATCCTGGCATGCGCTCAGTTCCTGGAGCTCCAGACTTACAGGCACTCAGCAGATCTGAGGTAGAGTCCTGAAGGCACCTGTGAACCTAAACCAGGGGTCTGGGTAGCTCTGTGACTATTTAAACCTCTAAATACAAAAAAGGGTCATTCAAATGTGAAAAGTCTGATACGATAACAGTCTTTTGACACCCTTTGTTTTTAATTTGACAGATGGGAGCCATCCAGTGGTCTACTTCTCTATTAAATGCCAAAGTCTTGAGTAAAACAAGGCCTTTCAAAAGATAATTTAGATCTTTTTTGCCAACAGGTCTGCACAGAACCCTCAGAGCCTCAGTAAAATCTTTTTTTGTTACAAAAGGCAGAAAAGCATGTGCTTGCAAATGCTTAAATGTCTGTGGATTTCTAATTGTAGGACTACGGCAGCACCTTTTGGCTGAGACAGTGCAGCAATGCGTTGAAAAGCTTCAGGTTAACAGCTATGTCCCCCCAAAACTGAGCCTCATGTCAGAAAAGTGCAGGTACGCACTCTGATCTGCTCTGCTCTGCAAACCTCAGACCCTGCCAGCTCGGCAAATTCTTTCTGCTGGGCTGCAGCCCATCCCATTGTTCCCAGGGCAGGCTCTAATCCAGGTCAGGAAAAAATGCACAAAACTCATCCCACCATTAGCTAGAAAAGACCCCCCGTGGTCTCCCTTTGTAGCAGGGCTGACTCTGAGCCCACTGAAGTCAAACGGGTGCCTGAGAGAGCTCTGGGTAGGCTTGGGCTCACACCTCCCAGCCCTGAGTCCCGGCGCAGGCAGCCACCAGTGCAGCCAGTTCCGTCACTCGCGGATCTAACCTGTCTGGTGGAGCTCTCCTGCCCTGTTCCGCAGTTGCCCAGTACGAATGCAGAGGTGGCCGGGCTTCACTGCTGGGTGAAGTATGCTGTACATACATAGAAAGTTTGTAGGGTGTACTGGGATTCTTCAGCACCGTAGAGGTGCCACGTCTTTTTTTTTTTTTTTTTTTTTTTTTTTTTTGTTTTTCATACTATGAATCCTTTTGCTCCTGTTGGGCCTGTGTATTTTCCCAAGGTTTGCAGCCCGAGGTCAAAATCTTTGCTCTCTGGACAAAGGCTGTTAAGTCATCCTTCCTTGTGAAGGAGGACTGGAAGGTACCTCCTTGGTTTTGGGAAGGAATATGACAAAGCAACATATATGAAGGAACATGCAGAGAGAGAATCTGGAGGCTACCACTTACCTACTCTCTTAATACAGCAGGAGAACGGTTAACACAAATGAAAGGCAACTGAGGAAAGAAAGGGCAAAGATTTAGATGAACAGAAAAATCACCACACTTATATCAGATGGGATCTATTAATTTTTTATTTTCTTCACAGGAAGATATAAGAGAGTTTTAACGGTTCTAAGCATAAACCGGCCCACCTGTTGAAGGGGGCTGGAAACACACTGTCTTGTAGGTAAAAAAAAAATAACTGTAACGGTTCAATATGAGGTATCTTCCACCTTCCTCAGAGCATCTGACCCTTCCAGATACAAATCGACTAATCACCCCCACCCTTGTTTACTACTAATTACCTGACAAGTCCTTTTACATACAAAGTATTTTAATAACCATCCCTGTTCCTGACCTCTGACATGCATACCTTCGTTAGATCGCTGGACTAATTGAGTGCTCATTCATCAGAGGTATATGGTTCACAACATGGCTGCCGGGCAGTCCAGTCTTCAACCATCAAATGTTGAGTATATCGTTCTTTTTCACTGGAGTGCCTCGGTAAAATGCACTGAAACGCAGCGTACTCAATGGACACTCTGTAGTTCGTTTACAGCTGCCGCAGGAAAGCTCGTTTCTTCCTCCGGCTCACGACAGCACAATGAAGCAAGCCAGCATTTTCCTCCTGCATCCGGTCAACTGCTTGTTGATTTTTTCCTTCAAGCCAGTTTTCACGTCCCCTGCCAGGCTGCCGGTGAATCTGTAGCCACCAGGTACGAGCCACGGCACCAAGACAGCGCTTCTCGGCAAACCAGGCGGGGAACGAACAGTTCCAGGTCTTCTGGCATTCAGCCTCACCTCTGCAATGAAACCACTGTGGGACTGTCAGCAAGTCGTTCTTCCCTCTTGTACAACTGGGAATCACGTTCTACCTCACAAAGACGATGTGAGGCTCGATATATTGTGTTAGCAGTAGAACGGGAGGTCCTTGGATGGAAGGCCCTACAGCTGAGCAAAGGATTATTGCTATTTCTGGATGTGATAGCATATAAATGTGTTTTATTCCCTCTCAGTGAGACAAATTTAATCATTTGTTCAAGAAATTTCTAGTGAGGCTGCATAACAGCCTCAGAGCTGTGGATTCATTGTATGATTCTACTCGAAAAAACAATTATGCAAAACATAGATATAAATGCAAAGAACAGGGAAAATTGTCTTCTTGGGAAGGGGGAAGTCACTGAGCAATCAGAGCCACGCCTGGATCATTTAAAGGTGTGTGTACCCCCTTGGCTCCCCGTGCAAATAAATTACTAACTGGCTCTCTGCAAGGAGCATAAGATGCAAGTGTCAAAATCACCGAAGGAGGTGAAAGTAGAAGAGAAAGATAGTGTCTTAGCTTACCGTAGCATGTGGGAGTTGGTGTTCTCTAGTGTCTAGAGCAGTGGGACCTAGGATAATAATCTTAGATTTATTTCCAGCTCTGCTTCTGACTTGCTGTGATAATCACTTTACCTCTCAGTGCCTGTTTTCTCCACCTGTAAAACGGGTGTAAGAATTTCCACCTACCTCACAGGGATGTTGTGAGGCTTCCTTAATTCTGTTTGTAAAGTAAGTAGGAATGATCTGATGAAAAGCACTGCTGAAATGCATGGTATCCTTGTTATTTCCTGGCAGAACTGCTAACTTGATTAATATATGACTCCTCGACCAGAAGGGTGGTAGTTTGAAAACGCGAACACTGCATTGCACTGACAACATCGACACAGATGTGGATTTGCTATGAGTAAAAAAGACTTTATGATCCCCCACCTTGGCCTGACCGTACAAAGCAGCGGTGACAGTGTGGTTACGTGGACCCCTCTTTTCCATCCCCAGCGTTGATTCCGGGGCAGCATTTATGCTTAAATAAGACAGCTCCTGGAGGGAGGGGGTGGTGCAGGTTTGTGGAGCTCTAACAATTTTAAGGGCCTTGCAAGGCATGTGGAAGTGGGTTGTATAATGCACACTACTGCTGGGCTTCTGTTTTAAACCACTCGGTGCAAACTCCAAGTAAATTCTCCAGAGTTTCCGTGGAAGAGTTTACAATTGCTTATTGCACACAGAAAAAAAAAGCCACGCTTCGTCAAAGCAAAGCCACAAACAATCATGTTACACTGATTCTTTCCTCTAAGCGAGACAGATACCAGAGATCTCCTAGCACTGAAACACAATGAGGTACAGATTCCTTCTCCTGTAGGAGGGGGGAGGTTTGGGGGGATCTCTGCTCTCTAGGTCTGTGTGGGCATGAAATCCACTTATCGAGGGAGGGAAGTCCGGCCTCTCCTGCCACTCAGTAACGCACTGACTGTGCAGTTTTACATTTAAAGAATGACTGTGTCACACAATGCTGAAAAAAAGGTGGCAGTTTGCTGTTTTGTATAGAAAATGGCTTTTCAGGCTGACAGCTGAAAGTAATCCTAGCCTAGGCATAGTTTTGTTTAGTAAAGACAGGAATATCCATGAGAACTAGACTAAAGCCTTCCTATAAGCCCGAGGCAGTTGTGATAGAATGGTATATGGTGCCAGGTTTCCTGAGGGAATAAAAGCATACCAAAGCGGGGGCACTTGTCTGAGTATTGGAATAATTTTTTTTTCCCCAACAGAATGACACTACCGTTTCTTAGGCTCTGTGTGTGCTACACCTTTTAACATGGCTCAGGAAAGGCTTTTTGCCAACACCAAATGTTCTTATGCAGTTGAGTAGTAACCATGGCACATAAATGCGTGTCGACTTGCCAAGACGTAGCCTGGCACACAATCCTTTCCTCGC